GCTCCAGTTCTGTGAAATGAGGGGGACTGAAACCATAAATGATGTTTTTCCATTGTATTGCTTTTTCTGGAACAATCTTTCCCTCCAAATGGCTAGCTTTAGTAATGGCCTTCCAGCATGTGGTAAAAACTGAACTCTTCTGGATGGCTGCTGAAGAAATATTGTTCATTGTGGCTGTTCTGCCTTTTAAAAATTGTTATATTACACTCCTACTTATTGTCATCAATATTGATATTCGGATGCTATTTTTATACATTATGAGTTTTGTATAGTGGAAATTCTATTTGTTCTATGTAGTTCTGTAACCACATGGAACAAACACCCAAGTCTGTCAGGAGTCAATGGGATACAATTTTAATATATAATGTACAAGTAGAATTGGGAAGGGACATCATTTCTTTCTCCAATTCAAGCAGCAAAATTATTAATCCTACCAGCAACTAAATGAATCTTTTGAAAGAACCAGAGAAAATATTTTTAACCATTTCCTTCCATTAGATTTTTTTTTTCATTAAGAAAGCAAGAGATGAGGCTTATTCATCTATTACTCCATTATTCATTAATTTATCAATTAATAAAATATTAAGATCAATTTGATCCATACTTAAATTAACTGAATGAGCCAGTGGCCAACAGGGTCACTACCTGCTTTCTCAAAAGTATTTAGCTGGCAGAAAAAAATGCTAATGACCTTCTAATGTATGTTGGCAGCACTTATATCCTCTTATTTGCTCCTTATTCATTTGCACGAGTCTTCCTCTCCAGTAATAATGGTGCTACTCAGTATTAAGGTTCCTTTAATTTTCTGTGTATGTGGCACGGTAAGGAAGTTCAGTGGGATTTATTTTTGTATAAGATTGCACTGTTAAGTACATCTAATTGAATTAAAGAAATCTGGTACCTGTTTCATTTCGGGGGGGAAAGGATGTGGAATAGTATATTCAAAGTGCAGCATAGCTGTATTACGTATAAACCGTTGGATTAAACTGCATGTTTTTAAAAAGTCACTTATGCCAGATATCATGGTTCAACCAATTTAAAATATTTTATGCTTTATTGCTTGCAATTGGAGTATTAAACATGTGCTTAAATCTCTCCCGGTGAAATCAGTGATACTGAAAATTTAATGGGCTTGGTGTAAGTATGTATCATGGTAAGCCCAAGCAACTAATACTGAACTTTCTATTTAATAACAACATTTTATGCTCTGGCATCAAACAGAATTTCAGTCCAGGTAGTTGCTGCTGTTACGATCTCACAGGCCTTGGGGTCATTCATGCTGCCTTAGGGCTCAAACCCAAAGGCATTATAGAGAGAAACAATAGTGGTTGCAACTGATCCTCCTAGACTCATAATACTAACTAAGAAAAGATTGAGTAGCCAAATATATATTATTGTTAGAGAGGTCGCTCATCTCCTCTGCTGCCTTCTTCTTCTTATCTAGCTCTTGATAAAGAGACATCTAAAGGCTTTCCCCTCCCCACCTCCACTCACATCAATTTACTCACTATGGCTCCAATCTTGATTATTAAATCTGAACGAATTGGGCTTCAGCCAGCTTTTATATTTTCTTTTTTCATTTACATTAAATGAATCTATAATACCACTTTTGGACCATCCCAAATCAGGCTACTGAAAAACTTGCACAATCTAAAGTGGATATTTATTGTTTTCATCTTGCCTTCAGAAACACAATAATTTAAAAAAGGAGAGAGAGAGTATGTATTGTTTTTTTTCCACTTTTATTAAAATACAAGGAGAAAAAACAGTTCTATAAAGTATATGGTCCATACAGCACCAATATTGTAACATTTGCTCATTTTTCTACAAAGAGAGTATTTATGACATTTAAGAATAAAACAAGCATACTCATAAACAAATGTTCTCCACCATATTGACCCAGGACTCCTATCAAATGGATTTCAAACACACCCACATTTCTAAACCCAGAGATATAAGAAGAACAAAGAAATGCCAGTATAGAAAGCATCTGATCACCAACTGAGCATGGTGCTCTTTTGTTAGTGATCTTCATGAAAACACCAGCATCTCTGTTTCATCCAAACTTCTCATCTTTGCAAACCAAGTCTTGGGTCCAGTTAAAGTTTGGTCAATATGGGTTCTGAGTTGATTATGGTAAAGAAATGAATATGACTGGCCTGTATTCCCTACCTGATACATCTTTTATTGCTTTGGTTATATTATTGAATGTAGGTTTTAAAGATCTAAAGCCAACATCTGCCAACACAAAAGATCACACAGAACACCAAATAAGCTCACAAAAATATATTTTAGCAAATACCCTTCATATAAGTGATCTCACCTTAAGCCTTCTCACAGATTTATAGTATGTTTTATTTTTAAAAATAGTATGAATCTGATTCACGGATGTGCCTTGTCGTAAATGAAAAATATAAGCAAAGTATACTGCTAGTCTAATTTTAAGATGTGTGAAATCCATTTTTCACGTATTATACTTTCACAGAGCTCAAAATACAAGACAAAACAGAGCTTGTTTCCTAAGTGGCATCTAAGACTGAATACTAGATCAGCCATTGTGTAGAATGGTTTGGATCTAGCTCTGATCATATTTGATTTCAAGTCAGATTGGGGTCTCACCTATACATTTTCCCTGTCTCAACATTGAGATTGCTGCTAACTATATGTTGAGGACGTGTCCTCCCAATGGAATCTCCATCTTGGTGTCAGACTGAGACTGGATCAGTGATCTGATAGAAAAGTCATCTTTTCCCTTGGAAAATGCAATGCAATTTCCCAAGTGAACATTCTGATTTTAGCAGCCTGAGAAAGGTTGACAAAGTGCATGGCTCTAATAAATCCACTGCAGGAGAGCCCTGTCCTATCCAAACGCAGAGCCTTGTGCTTCATTGGCCATGTCTACTGTAGCTATGGAGGGAAAATAACTTCCCATCAGCCCACATTTGTTTTCTTTTCTTTTCCTAGATTGGATCAGTATAGCGATCTGGAAGGCATCCCAGAAGGTTGGAATTCCTACCTATATTCTTCACTTGCTGGAAAGGAAAAAATCTAAGGAGACAGAGATCCTTTCCCCTTCCCTCTTTCCTGCACTTATTCCTATCACCATGTTTTTTCCCATAGCAGCTCCCACAGCCACATGTGAAAGCAGCAACTCATTTTGGAAGTATGGAGGCAGTGATTTTTGCAAAGAGACATGTTTTCCTCCCTTTTTGTGGCCAGAAGGAAAACACATCACTGTGAGGTGGGGAAAAGAACTAAATCTCCTTGGACTACACTGATCTTTTAAAGATTGACCAAGCTCAGTGCCAACTTTGAGTGCAAACTTGTAGTTTTGCAAGTGACATTTTTCAAGTTACTGCTTTTGCAGTACTGAGGTTCTTTGAACCCAATTGAATAATGAAATGGAATGCAGGAACACCATTCTATGCCCACTCTGCTTATACATATGTTGTTTGAGAAACATTTAAAGCACATGTTAAAGTTTAACTGTCTAAAATTTGAGAGTTGTATATTTTATTTTAAAGTCATGATAATCCAAGGGCTGCTTTTTTACAATGTGGGTCTAAACCCCTCAGTATTTCTTTCATTAATAGTTTTGTCTGGGATAGAAATATATTCTCGTCTAGATTTTCCCCCCTTTCTTTTTCACAGGGAAGGGAAGAAAATAAAGTGCTAGAACAGAGCTTTAAAATGTTAGTTCTAGGTTGCTAATTAAGGAGAGAAGCAACCTAGAACTAAGGAGAGAAATTTCCTGACATTTAGAACAATTAATCAATGGAACAACTTGCCTCCAGAAGTTGTAGGTGCTCCAACACTGGAAGTTTTAAAGAAGAGACTGGACAACTATTTATCTGAAATGGTATATGGTTTCCTGCTTGAGCAGAGGGCTGGACTAGAAGACCTCCAAGGTCCCTTCCAACTCTGTTATTCTCTAGCTTTGTAACAATTATGATACTGATCGATACACCAAATCAAAATTTCTGTATGTTTTAAATGTGCTAAATTGTATTAAAGGTTAGTCGGTTTTAGCCCTTTTGAGTTAAGGCATAATCCGGCAATCAAACAAAATGTTTTGGTCTTTCTGTCTTATAAAACTCTTATATAAAAGAGAGCTAATGGGGAGAAGGGTGAAGGTTTGCAATGCTTAAAAAAAAGCCTTTGCAATAAATAATGAATACAAAGAGCATAAAAATTAAACCATTTTTGTCTCCATCCAAAATAGTGCTTTTGTTTTGTTTATTTCATTTCCATCCCAGGTTTGAAAAGAAAGCATTTATATATATATATATTTATATATATTTATATATATATATAGGAATAATTTGAATAATTATTCAAAACAGAATGATTTACATGAACAATGGCAAAACAAAGGTTTTAATGGTATAAATCAGTGGAAAAATGAGATGTGCACTAAATGTCTTCTTTTTGTTAAAAAGATGACAACATTCTGTAACATAGTTAATTTAGATGTAATCAAATAAATAATTGTGATTTTCTCAGACTGCTGCATCAATTGATCTGAGAAGGTACTTGCCATTTTGAGATGTGTAAATGCGGGGTGAATAAACATAGTCAATATGCAGAGAATGGGATTTCAGAAGCAACCAGGACTCTTATGGCACCTGGATGACTAACAAATAAAATCAGTTCAAGCTCTAAACTGCCATTCTGGTTTAACAGTTCATTATTATTAGACATACAGTAGGGGAAAACCTCTTTATCAGCACAATTGTTCTGTACTGAGCCTTAAATGGGATCCAATCTTAAGTCAAAAAGGCTGCCTGAAGCAGAATGTGGATTAGATAGCAATCCCAAAGTGTAATTCACCTAGAATCTGTCTGCCTAAGTATTAAATGAATATGAATAGAAATAAGGCCTTCAATTGATAAATTATATAGATAGTCCTTGACATACGACCATTCAATTAGCAACAAAAGTTACAATGGTTGTTGCAATTCAGGTTTGAAGTTCTGATGACTGTCTCTCCCCCCCCCCCCCCCCCCCCCAGCAGTTACATAATTGTATTTTGGGCATTGGTGAACTTGCCTGCATTATGGCCATCTGTCCCACCATCACACAACTGTGATTTATACATTCTTTTAAACCAGAAATCAGCATTTACAGCTGGTTTCCAGCAAAAACTGCCATTGCAGACAATGGTTCACCTAACAATTATGGCATTCGCTTAATAACTGTAGCATTCACTTAATGGTTTCAGGGTTGTTTTATGACCACCATATTTACTTAATTACTGCCACAAAAATGGTGCTAAAATTGGGTCTGTCCTGTGGTGGCCTTGACTTACAATCAACATGCCATATTGCAGAAATTCCAGGCTCCATTACAGTCATAAGTCAAGAACTACCGGTATGTCATAATGGCAAAGTAAGGAGAAGTAAAAAAAAAAAAAAAACCAAACCAATTTAAGAGAAACATTAGGGAATCTGCTCCCTGGAAGATCATTTTTAAAAGAATGCCACTGAAATTATTTGCTAAGAAATATGTTTTGTGTCCCTGCCAACAGGTTACTGTTTGAAAAGATGAGCATTTCATTTATATTAATGATTGCTAGTTTCATATTTTAGCAATGCTCCCCATCCTAAATTAAAATACTACTTTCCTGCAACTGTCTGCCTCTATACCTTCACCAAGTCCTTAAATTTTTCAAACTGTAACAACATATGCTACCTCCTCATCCACCATCTGTCAGCCTTTTAGTACATTCATTCTCGGCTCCTCTGACATCTTTCTCTATAATTGTGTGCCCATGTGTTGTACTCCTGTAAAAGAGAAGCAAAGAAAAAAGTGGACACAGAAAAAAAAATAGCATTCATATCCCACTGTCAAGTTTGTATCCTTTCATTGGAGGGGAACATAATCTAAAACATGTATTGTGTATTAAAAGAATTCTTGACCAATATCAGAACAATGGTACCATAAGGAAGCAGTGAAAACTTAATTGCTTGTTAATGCTTTCTCGCCCTTCTCTGAGTTTTGTCCTCAGAAAAGGACTTTTACCCCTTCTCTTTTCTTTCACAATCTTTATGCACTTTGAATAAAAATGGGCAAATGGATCCATTGTGCTAACAGGGCTACTCTACTCACTTTACTTATTTCAATGCATTTTGTGCAGAAGATCTATTGGGAAAATACCACCCAGCCTTCTCTCAAAACCATTCCACTTTGTCATCTTCTTCCAAATTCGAACATCCCAACTATTTCATTAACACTCATTCCATTTTTGTCATCCATTTAATGGGTGGGATAGAGAGACAGGCAGATGAAGAGGGATAGTAGCTATGAGGCCAAAATTAGTATTTAAGAGGAAATTATTATTATTTAAAATGGAAGGTGGACAAAGGATTTAGCTTTCTACAGCTCTGCAGTTCATCAGTTCTAAAGCTGAAATCTGTTTCACATTAAATTAATGTGATTAAAAGCTAATTTCAGGTTATTGGGTTGAAGGGCAAACAATGCATCAACAAGAATTGCATCAAGCCAACCACATTAATTAATGAATAAAATCTCAGTCCCAATAAAGTAGCATGTCTTCCCCTTTTCATTTTTTTTTTCATTTTTCATTCTCCTTCTTTATCCTCACAGAAAGATACACCACTTGCACTATTTTCAAATGCAATAAATTATTTTTTTTAAAAAAATTATACATTAACAGCTAATATTAACTGCACTGTTGTTGAATTTGTAAAAAAAAAAGAAGAAGAAGAAAAAGAAGAAGAAGAAGGCAAGTCTGAAAGTTTCCATCCATGCATCCAGGCTTAACATAAAACAAGTTTGTTTCTATATTGGATATGATTCTGGGCATTCTCCCATCAACGTTCCCAAAAGATGGTGATACACACAATATATTTTTTTTCTTACATGGAGATAACCTTGCAATACATTGCTCAGACATTACCTCAGTGCAGAAAGAATGCAAGGTAATGTTCTCATGATTGCTCCTTATGTGATCCAATACAAAATACCAACCCATACCACTTCCATGATCCCAACCACTTTTTCACTTGTAATGATCCACCAGGTGAAAGCTCCATGTGGGAATCAACAAAGGATGAAGATTTACAGGTAGTTTGCACCCTCTGAAATCCTTGTGTGTCCCACCCCCAAATAATGTGATAATGAGAAATAAGATGGCCATGAGATGAGCCTTAAAGGCTAAGTTTAAGTTGAAAGAAAATACTTCAAGTGTTAATGTTTTTCGCCTGAAGAGCTTACTTTCAAAAATTAGTTTCTGCTGGCAGAAAGCACAAGCTATTTTTTTTTTTTGCAATAAGTGATATTTACTGAAGCATGCTTTTCACAAAACAGTTATAGGAATTGGATAGGAGAAATCAATTGCACACCTGATTGCATAATTGTCCTGGATATATCCAGGCTCAGACAGAATAAGTCTAATAGTGATTTTCACAACAAAATTCTGAGAATTGGGTTTGGGGCAGACAAAAGAAACTGTCAGTTGATTGAGACAAGTTTTTCAACATAAATTATTTCTATTATAGATAACGAATGGTAGAAATCCATTTGAGCTAGATTCTCTGAATTGGCTCAAAACACAATAGTCTTCACTACTTCAAAATTATTAAGAAATTCACTTTGGGAGATATAAACTAAGATTCAGAACAGCCTAAGTAATTTCCATGATGACTGTTGCTAGGAGATATTTCAGCTTAATCATGCAATGCAAGTTAGGGTATAACCTGCTCTTACAGAATTCTTTGTCTTTGAAACACTGAAAGAGTTAGAATCAAAGTAAAAGATTTCCAAATTGCAAGCTATACTACATTGCAAAAACAAAAAGTATTAAAGCAGAGTGAATACCAGTTCTTATTTTAGCAATTAAGAAAGCAATTAACTATCTGATTTATAGAAGATGCTGGAATCTGGAATATCTACCAAATGGTACTTTACTACAACAAACTAAAATAATTGTTTCATGATAACTGGCAAGCTTTAGATTCTGAACATGCTATGATGGAATGTAACAGGATGATTTCTGAAGGACAAAGTGATTTTTATCTCATTCTTCATAAACCTTATGGAAATAATGGTTTTGGGTGCTTCTACATCTCATGGCACAAAAAAACTCAGAAGTCTTATTCTATGAAAGGAAAAAAAATCTCAGCTCTTTTTCAGAGAGCAACTGAGAATTCATTGTTGTTTGTAACCACTTTGTGCATTTAAACTTTTTACTAGGCCTGTTTTGTCCCCAAAAGCAGAAAAATCCTATTCAAAACAAAATGCAACTTGTTTTCTTTTTGCATTATTTTAAAAGGACAGTCCTCTTGACTTCTTATCTGGTAAATTTGGATTTCATCTTTTCCTGAAGTTTTGCTCCAGCCAAAGTCGAACCTCTTGAAGATTGTAGAAAAAAGGGCCTTTCCCCCCCAGGTAAGCAATTTTTTGTCTTTGTATAATGCATACACGCTCAAAGGAGACTCCATAAGCCACATTGGCATTATTGTCCATGCAATCAGCCACTATCTGGCACTGCGGTGGCAAAGAAAACTTCTTTAGAAGCTGGTGAGCAGCAGCACATCTGTCTTCTTGGTTCCTATGTTTCTTGACTTCAAATGAAGATGAGATACCAGGAGCAGCCCAGCCATCTGATGGGTGAGCCTCATCAATGTAGACTAACAGAAAGTCAGCCACACTAGAGAACTCTTCCACCAACTTGCCAAAGGCAGACAGCTGGTTTGTGAAGGGAGGTCAGGTAGCTGACCCAAAGTTGATTACAAGTGGGCGCTCTGATTTGGCAAAGTCTAAGAGATGGCATTCACTACCATATTTTCCCATGGAGCTTTTCCATCTGCAGTTGTTGCTGCTGCTTTCAACAGTGCCATTAGGTATGTGGATGACATTGGAATTAGGAGCATCTCCACCCAATTTCACCTATTAATTAAAACAAAAATATAATCAATTATTATGACTTGCTGTTATTTATCTTGCATTGTCCCCCTTATTAAACAAAAACTGTTAGCTTCTCCACCTCTGAGCCCATTCAGAAGTAAATTATAGCATGCACTTCCTGTCTTACATTAGTTATCTGACAACAATTATACTATACAGTTGCATAGATACTAATATCAATAATAGATTAAAAATCAGTCTTTTAAAATAGTAAGTCTAATATTTCCAAGATGTATAATTGGAAAATTTCATTTCTTGGATTTTTTAAAAAAACAAAAATCAACTGTTGATGCTGACCAGGCTGGATAATATCATGAAACTATTTGCAGTATCGACTCCACCAGTCCACTGTCAGGCAGATCAAGTGCAAATCATTTTCCTCAATAAATAAATTGTGATGGTATTGAGTATTTCACATTATAGTAGGTATTGACAAGTAAATAAAACAAAGAAGTATAATATTTTTGATTCATATGCTTAATTGGGTCCTCTTTATCTAGTTTAGGACTTGCGTGGGGAACATGACACACTTTGGGCCACATTAATGTAAAAATATTGAAAAATCACATGTGGTCCTGATAGAATCTGTCTTTAATCATTTTTAATGGAATTATAGAAAACAGAGTGTGGCCTACTCTTTTCATTTAGGACCGCTATCATGAATCCCCTTAGTTTTCTCAAGGCTAAATACTTTCGTTTCTTTAATTCCCTCCCTAGGGTTGGGTTTCTAACTCCCCAATTATTTCCTTTGCCTTTCTTTGTCCCATTTTAATTTGTCTGAATCTTCTTAAAGTGTAGCATTCAAAACTGGACTGCACAGGTGATGTGAAGTGTGACTAATTCAAAATAAAATGGAAAGATTATCATGATTAATGTATTGTACTTCTATTGATGCAGCCTGGAATGTATGCATGTATTTATTTATTTTGCAGACATTTTACACTGCTGACTCACATTCAGGTTATGATAATCTACAATCTCAAGGTCGTTTGGACATGGGCTGTTGCCAGGCCATCTATCCTTGATCTTATTGCTGTGCATTGATTTCATTTTCCTAGATTAAAAAATAAATCTTCCCCTTTTTGGTCTATTTTTTTGAATCTATTTTTCTCAGTTCTATCAAGATCAATTTGAACTTCATATCTCTTCAAGGGTTTTAATTATCCTATCCAATTATGTGTCATAGCCAGATTTAATAAGCATTTTCACCACCTTGTCATTCAAGTCATTAATAAAACTGGTAGAAAGTATCTGGTCCAGGACTGCACTCCTTGCCATCTCATTTAAAACCTCGCTCTAATTTGATGAGGATATGACAAACATTTTAAAGTATTCTTTGCAAACCAGCTGTGGATCCACTTAATAGATGTATCATTCAGCTCATACTTAACTAGCATGCTAATTAGAACATTGATGTATTCTCTCTCTTTCTCTCTGTAGTATATATATATGGCTAAAATGAAGATACCATTACCCATATGAAATTCAGTTCTGTACCCTGGCAAAGCTATTGATGATTTAACATACCTTGTTTATTTCATTGTTTTCTATTGAGCTTTTTGCTCAAAATGCCATATATAGTTTCTTTCTATTCCCCCCCCCCCCCGCCCAACTTTGTTGTGGCTGAAGAGAAACTATTGAACCTAAGTCATCCTGTGAGCTTCTAGACCAGGGCTGTCAAACTCCTGGCCCTTGGGCCAGATGCGTCACGCGCTGGCCACACCCACACCCGGTTTAGCAAAGGGGAAAAAGTCCTGATACGTCACATGACACTGCTGTGATGACGTGAGTTTGACACCCCGGTTCTAGACCATGCTACATGTATGTCCAAGACAATATACCATTCTGTGCAATCAAAACCAGAATTGTTGAAATAACTATAGTTATTTCTTTATTTTTATCCCGTCTTTATTATTTTTATAAATAACCCAAGGCAGCAAACATACCTAATATTCCTTCCTCCTATTTTCTACACAACAACAACATTGTGAGGTGAGTTGGCTGAGAGAGACTAACTGGTCCCAAGTCACCCAACCAGCTTTCATGCCTCAGGCAGGAGTAGAACTCAGTCTTCCTGTTTGTAGCCTGGTGCCTTAATCACTAGAACAAACTGACTGTCAATTTGTATTATATATAAAACTAGTTCTGTCAGTTGTGGCTTCCTGTTTGTTTTTCCAAATTATAAAAAGCAAAATTGGTATGATAGTATTTCCATTTTGAAGGTTTCACTAAGCAATATTTAATGCCATTCTTTAAAAATTGGGAACTTAAAATCTGGAAGAAGAAGGAAAAACTCTATATCCAGGATCTTTGCTATCATTGTTCTTTCATTTATCAAACCCTCTTGGTGCTGAGACATTGGTTTAATTATGTTCTAACAAAGGAATATTTAACAAGTGCCTTCCAATCAAGGGATCACAACTGACTCAGGAAATAAATAATACCAGTTTCACGTCATCACATATCTGGAAAGAAACCAGGGCATCCCCTAGTATGGATTGCATCACTGAGTTTCCCACATAAGCAAAAGAAATCTTGTGGCCACAGGTTATCATTTTTTTTTTATCATTTTTTTTTGCTGTTAGAAGTTCTTGTGTTTGTTTGGAAAAATTGTCCTTAATGAGACAGGCTTGCCAAGCAAACATTCACAAGGCCTCCTCGGCTCTTGCAACGAGTAATTAGGTCGGTGCCTTGTTCTGTGCTAGCATTAGCCACTCCAAAAAGCCAATCCTAACTAGTAGTTAATGCTTAGACACAACTGGCTGCATCTCCTGCTAATTGGTCTTGATGAAGCTGTAACATTTCCCAAAGGTCATCTTTATTCTAGCAGGTTGAGAGATGGGATTGACATCCATTTCGAGGGATTGTTTGGTTTCTTTGTTGTTGTCATTCATTACTGAAGAGGGTGGAATTAGCTCTTGGAAAAATACCTACAACGCGCCACAGTGAAATGTCATCCAAAATAAATAAATTAAAAAAAAAAATTTCTCTGCCAAACTTCTTTTGAAATTACAGACAAAGGCAGCAAGAGAGCAGTTCTGAGAAGCAAACCCAGGAAATTTCCCTCACACGCAATATTTCTGGCTCCAGCTTTCTTTTTCTATAACCATGGACTTCTTTTTTAACAAGCTAGTTCCATAGTCTACCATGGAGCTCTATGAAAATGGGATTGAATTTCTGTCTCACCAAATTCTCCGCTGTAGGGAAGATAGGATGCTGCTCTTCCACCACTAGCTCTGTTGAACTGAAAGCAGCAGTTCAAATTATCCATGCTTTCTTTGACTTCTCTCCTTCACTCTACTGAAGATTGGCCAGTGAAAAGGATGAATGCATAATTGATTTATTGATTTTATTGCTACAAGGTGAGCTGCGGTTGCATAGTTTTAAATTGTACTGGGATACATTTAGCTTATACTGGCAGCTTCTGGTAAATTCCTCATTTTTTTTAGATACATCTAAATATCGTAAATTCTACTGGAAGTGAATTCCATAAGCCAGTTACACATCAATGAAGTCACACTATCATTTATTTATCTCAGGACTAATTCAATTCATATCAAAACCCAGTTGAATCTTACCTATTAGCAATAGATAATTTGTCTGCCTAAATCAGAGTTTTCCAATCTGGGCAACTTGAAGACACATGGACTTTTAACTCCCAGAATTCCCCAGCCAGTTGGTTGGGGAATTCTGGGAGTTAAAGTCCACATGTCTTTAAGTTGCCAAGATTGGGAACTTCTGGCCTAGATCATGGTCATTACCCTACTAAATGAAAGTTGCTTTGTAAATACAGTTCACTATGCAGTTTTATTTAATACTCTAAGTCTAAGGAATCCCTCTTTAATATTATATTCAGTAGCAAGACCATGATTGGCTTGCTTATGCAGGCAAAGTGAAAAATGAGGTGTCAAAGGCAGGGAGACAAGAGTCTGATTCATAAATCACTGACTGGAATTAGAATTGCCAGTGTAGCATTCAGGAACAAAATATCCTACCCTTTACACAATTTTCTCCCTCTTTAAGGAACAACTTTAAGTCTTTTCAAATTCTCCATAGGGGTTAGACTGTCAGACTGTGTCAGTTCCTTGCAGAAAAGAGATGTTGCCAAATAATCAATCGGCTCAGGCACCAGTCATTTAAACCCAGACATAATATATTAGAGTTATATTCAGAATTCCTTTGAGCAGTCAGAAATATTTGAAGATTTACTCTTTTTATTTTGTTCCATTCATAGACATCCAAGTTCTTAATAGTCTGTCATTTCACAATGATTCATCCAAATCTTCACAGCTACTGGCACAAGAACAGTTCATAGCTGCTATTGTGTTGTTGTTTTTCTCTGACAGGACCCACAATTTTGCTGTGCTCTTCAGTGGTCCTATTCATTATATACAGTTCCTGGAAAGCCACACCTCTAAAGAGCCAGATGCTGGAAGCTATGAGTGGAAATATTTTTTTTTCCCAAAATGGCATTTCCTTGCCCTTACCAGAGGCTAGAATCACTACATCTGTCTCCCCCACAACTGACACTTTCCAATGGTTCAAATGATTCCTTATGGTAACCACACAGAGGTCCTAAATGTTAAAGTTTCTTATGCTTTATCTGGAAGAGCAAATGGTTTTATTAAGACTTCAGAACTTTCTTGACTCAAATCAGAGATGGAAATTTTTGATGGCCAGAGGCTGCATCTAACATTTTTATAGAGGATGTATAAAGTGTAGAGAGGTAACGAAGTTTGGAGTTTAGGACATTTAAATAAAATTAAGCCTATCTCAGAATCTTTACAGCAGTTTCTGAATTTTTCTTCCTTCCAAATCATTGGAATCATTCCAAACCTTTCTACTGTTTTTGGTACCTGATTGAAAATTGCATGGAGGATTTCCAAAAATTAGGAAGCACTGGGGCTTCAGGTTTCTGATTCCTGGCTTAGATATAATGATTATTTATTCATAGATCAAATAATTATTTCAGCCAAAAATGA